AGCAGCTAGAAAAAAACATTCAGTCATTCTTCGACCAGTTTATACATTTTAACCCAATATTTAAGCCATCGTCCGTACTTCACGACATGAATATCGAAGTTAGTTTTATGAAGTTACGAAAACAGAAAAGCCTAAACGAAGCTTCATAAATACCTCAATGTAGCTGTTGCCTGTCGGGTCATCCAGGACGATGTGATACGGCTGATCAACGTGAATTAAGACCTCAAGTTTCTTCAGGAAGGCCATCATCTTTTCACGTTTCACTGGCGTGGCGCTGTCGCCGAAAGCGAAATCAGCGCTGACGGCCAACTACAGTGCAGAAAACGCTTGTTAACAATAACAGATACACAGATATACACAAAATGCAAACTTATTAATGTAACGACGAGACTTTACCTCGTCCCTGACAGCAATCATGAGACCCTCGACGGTCGTGAAGCGGCCCGCTAGAATACCCACTCCGACCTCCAGCTCCAGTTCAGGGATGCTTAGAGAGCACGTTTCTGATTTCAGCACATCCCTTTTGAGGTCGTCCTGGCTTAGCACGTGTAAAGTCAGTTTCATGCCTTTCTCTCCAACTCCCGTTCCCGACTTAACTTCCGTCGATTTGTAGCCGCAGTTTTCGCAGCAGGTCGCCATAATTACCACCTCTTTGAAATACGGTATATCTAAACACGACTAGATGATAAACAGATTGTAACAACAGGCTTACTGTTATAGAAAAATCTGAGAATGATAACGATGAAGTGCAGAAGGCACTAACTTAATTTATCATTTACGGCTTTCCTTCATGAAGAGGCTAAACTAAAGCCCAAGCTATGATTATGCTGTTTTTGGCCTATTATTAATGCACACCAGAACTGTTTAAGAAAAGAGCACACAAAACGCAAGAACGATTTAAGAACAATACAGCTCATAGTACAGTTAAGTTTGGCTCGTTCTGACTGAATTTGTAACCGACATCTAATTGACTAAACATCACAATCTGCGGTATTCTACTGATCAAGCTTTGTTAGCCTTAAACGAATATTGCGACAAACGTGCCGTCACTGTTGTTCAACAGAAAAAGCGAATCAAAAGACTAAATTTGAGTCCTGTTAGCTACACTCGGATCAGGGCATTTCAGTCGGTAGAGTGAGACTTACAATCGAAACATCAGGGGTTCCAACCCCCCCCCCATCAAAACACGTGTCATGCTTTCGAAACAAATGGATAAGAATAGTTTCGTCAGAGATGAAATGAGATGAAGAGATGAACGTCAGTTCCATCGAACCAGACTGCCAAAACCTCTGCCCAAATCATCGAACTGTAAGAGACACTGAAATCCTAACGATTAGTAACTTTACTTTCTTTCGTTTTCTCTGCAGTGTTCATTCATATTTTTCGTTCACAGGATTTTCACAACGGGGGGGGGAGGGGCAATAATGTCATGAAGAATTTTTCGGTCAATCCCTTAGCTGAGAAGCCATGTGGCTTTGAGATTAAATTTCGACATGCAAGTCTTTCCTCTGGCATTCAGATCCGTGTTAAAAAATTTCTAAACAAAAACGATCATAACTGTGATCTCTGGACCCAGTTCAGAAGCGGCTTACTGGCTACATCGGACTGTTGTCTTCCAAAGTTTATCGACCCTTAGCACCGCTGCTACCCTTAAAAATTTGGGCCATCTATATCCGGTTTCACACTCCATTAATCAATATATGTGTTCTCGACTAAGTAAGTATCAGTGTGTATCATAACGCTGGGACTCCTTCCTCCTCAAGTATAACTGAAAGCGTGCAACTTCTTGTTGATACGTGTGCACAGCACAAGGTCCGATCGAAAGAGCATAAACGAGCAATACCCGTACATGCATCGCGGAAACGTGAGCATACGGATAGCGATGGCGTGGAAACTGGGGGAGGAGAGAGGGATAAGAACATACATAAAATGACTACCTATGACTATTAAATGACTATGATGACTATACAACATAAAATACTTACTGACAAGTTTCATGTTAGTCTGACAAACAGCGCCACAACCAGGACAGTTTGCTTGAAACTTCAGTACCTAAATTTTACCTCTCTTAACGGAAACATAACAAAAGCAGTTCAGCAAACATAAATTTTGAACATATTGTTATTTGAAACACTTTTCAGGGTGTTGCAAACCAACCTCTACCTTAAGATTTTTGGATATCTCGCTGAGTCATTTACTATATCGTCAGCTTTCACAGGTATCTATGCTCTGGATATGCTTGGAAAAAAATAGTCTATTCGAACCTTTAGTCAATAAATACTTCTCCAAACTAGACTGGTTAAAGATATACTGAAAAGTCTGAAGCCCTAGATAAGTAAACCAGGAATCTCGTAAATTTGCAGTTTCACTGTTTACCCCAGGGCAGTGGCTACAAAGAATTCGCCCCTCCCCCGTACAATTTTTTTTATACCCTACTGCTTACTTTGGACAGGCATAGTGAATCCGTGGAAACTGGTACTCTTATTTTGAAGAAATTAATCCTAATTAAATTAATATAAAATTAATAAATTCAAACGAAAATATTACTAAAATTACTTATTTACAAATGCTGTTCTGCAAGCCCTAACCTTACCTCATTTCTTATAGCTTCTCGAGACTCCCATATCGCAGGAGTATCAGCTTCCTCTTTTTCAGTATCATCAGCGACAAGACCCAAAAGCTTGTTCTCTTCTAAGCTGCGCTGGTAATGCACAGATGTGAGCTGTCTATCCTCCTTAGAAGGATCTATGCTTTCAATAAAGCTGTTGCCACTAGGATCGTCGATTATCTGAAAATTCACAAAGGTAAAAGGGTTTACATTCTTCTAATAAAAGCTCTACACTTACCAAGGTGAAGCTTTGTTCAACTTTACACAGCTTATCCAACTTAGCCAAAAATTCGGTAAGCTTAGCAGCGACATCTGGATTAATATTCTGAAAATAAGGTACGTTAAACAAAAATAAACTGATGAAAGAGTTACAGTAAATGAAACGTAAAGCCATGAAAATGAATAATCTCATTAAATTCAGCACCTCTTTTCTATCTCATGAAAAATTTCAACTTGTTTGCTCATTATCAGGAATAAAACCTGTTACTGTTATATGGTACTACCAAGCGATACTCCTGGGAAACATAACTGCAGGTAGTTGTAATAATCGCATAAGAGAAAAAGCGCAAATCAATGAAACATGTACTTACAGAACTTCGTTTTGCATTTTATAAGGGAATAGTATTATTGGTTTCTAAAACTTGCACATATGGCAAAAGGTTTATTTCCATGGTGACTGATGGTCTGCTCTTGAAGGAAGGTTCCGTGAAGTAGACAATCACAATAAGAATAAGAAATAAGCAATAAATAAGCAATCGGAAACAAGAAGCTAAAAACGGCCAAAAGAAAACACTCAAAATTCAGTTCTACCTCAGAAAGTTCCATGTGTTCTCGATGTCCAGTTTATGTCTCATTTTCATGATCCCACCGCTACATTATCCATAAAAGATGAGATCGATGTGAAGTCCTACGAATGCCAAAGATTAAAAACCAGAAACGGACTTAAGCAGATTGTGGGTGTGAAGATATAAAGTCCACGGGACACCATAGCTTGACTGTCAACTGGTCGGTCCCTTTACCCAGTCGATACATCACAATTCTGATAGTTGGAACAAGTAAAGAAGAGCCACGAATAACAAAGAACAGATTCGTTAGGCGCATTCTCTTGATAAATCTACAAGAAAGACGACTCGACTACAGACAGCAAGCCAAATGGCTAGGTTAGATAGATTTTCAATGCTTGGAATATGAAGAAACTTGTCAATTTCGCGGCAGATCCGGATCACTAAAAAGGTCTCCTTATAGACAGTGACCATGAAGAACCCAACAGGAAGAGCGGGCTTTGAAAATCAATGAGATAGTGTTCATTTAAATGCGCAGAAAACTCCAAAGTGAAATTTGTACAAAAGCAAAAATCCCTTACTCAGTTGCATGTCGACATTAATTTTACTTTTGCTTTACTTTTTTCATATTCATTGCATATGACTCTGCTAGTGGTAACTCGATATAAGTGCTCTGTGCGTATTTACCCTCAACTGCGCCGCTCACTTCATGAATTAAGAAACCGAAAGTAAAATATATATTATATATTACACAGCGTACATTATATGGCACACATTAAATCATGGTCATGAATACTAATAAAAATTATCTATGCATTACGGTTCCTTTAATAATGAAATAAAATAACGGTCGTTATGCACGTTTACCTGTTTTTCAGTTAGCTTGCGCTTCAGAGACGCGGCGACGCGACTGACGATACCCTCAACGTTCGTAATTTCTAAAATGAATAGGGTATTCACGAAAATTTCCCATTTATTATGCGTACCTCCAGAATGGCTTTGAGCAGGAATTTCGAGGTCGACTTCAGGAATATTTACTGAAGCGTATTCGGTCTTTACGACCTGGCGATCCAGGTCCTGAAAGGAAGATGAAAGTTGACACTCGCTGAGCAAGTGTTTAGAAACAAAAACTATACCTTTACGTTTTGTACTTTTAGTAACAGTTTTAAGCCGTGTTCCTGGTACTTGCCGCCAAATGTAATCTCGTTATTCTGAAAGTTGCAGTGCTCGCAGTTGAACGACATCAAAATCACTTCTTTGTAAAAAGGAATCTTGGTCAGCAACAGACGAGTAACACCCTGAATAGCAGAAACAGCATTCATTAAAGTTATTAATTTTTTAGGTTCATTGTGTTGCTCTTCATGGCATAACGTCACGTTTGCAACTTCTCGTAGTCTTAAATCACACATTTCAAATCTATCAATGTAATTTTAACTTTACGACCGTTTCTAGTGTTGATCTTCTATTTTTGTAGAGGTTTCAGACCTGCTTAAATTAGAATTTTGTGCTACTTCAAGCGGTACAGTCTCCCCCTCGAACCAGTGAAACATTCGCCATGAAAGCAATGAGAAGAGGCGGCGGAGGAGTACAACGTGATGATATTATATGCAAGCCCAAGACAGAGCTTTAAACTACAGTTAAAGTTCTACGACAGCGGCGACAGTAAACATTACATTGTCAACCCGCTTGATAATAGGTATAGCGCATTTGACGGAGATTGGTCACGTAAAATTACTGATTATAAGCACTTCCAACAAGCTGAACATGACGGTCATTGAGCCCTAGGGAAATGGGACGATGCAAATGACCGGGTTTTCGATGCGCTGCATTAAAAAAATGCCTAGGAAGTTATGCGTTATGTGACATACTAAACATGTAGTGTGGGATTTATAATGCTCAGAGAAATATGAGTATAAATAAGCGAACATTACTGTAGACAGGATTTACCTCAATAAAAGGCAAACCTGCTGTAAGAAAGTTAATGAATCCATGACTGCCCACGTACAAACTGACTACAGCGATGGTAAACGACCTGATTTGCGTTCATAATTTATCTTAGCATTTCTGTGCATACGAGATTCAACTAAATTCTAGTCTGTGGACTTAGCTGAAACTTCTGAAGATAATACACCAGTGCAGATTCAGCTATAACAGGCCATCATGGATTGATGCTTCTCAGAAAAACGTGTACATATTTTTCGCCAAATCCTTTTGTACCAGACAAATACGATTATAGCATATGCATAGAACATACGAAGGTATACAGCAGCAGCATATGGCTACCCCTGTGAAGAAAGGATCCTCTGCTGATGTAAAATGCAGTCAGCAAATGTCATACTATTCAAACCATTTCTAAACAAGCATTTCTGTCATATAGAGGCTGCTGATTTCTGGCAGGATTCGGTACTAGCCAGTGACCTAATGAATATCGACCGTATAGCTGTTGACTCTGGCCGGCACTGAACGAGACCTAGGAATAGCAGATTTCGGTGTCATTCATTGGATGCTAAAAACTATGCATTTTAAGAAGGCAAGAAGCAATATAACAAAACAAGTTTTCAGTTTTTAAAACAAATCAGACAGTCAGTCAGTTTCGATGACCGCTTACCCGTTCGGGTCGTGGAGGCAGACGCGTCAGACAGTGTTCCCAATCCTGTGCTGGCACTTGAGCTTCAGCAGAAGATAACCCGATTCTGGAGCAGTGACCTTAAATACACTTTCCTCTAAGCTATTCTTGGTCATCCCCGGGTTCATTGACGGCCAGTCGCTTCGGCAGGTAGTAGCTTTTTCGTCTTCCCCTCTGAAAGCAAACGTCCCCAAACCATCGCAGCTGTGACCTCTCAATATGGAGAAGCAGCGACTGCGCACTCCCTCAGATATCTGCATTCCGAAGGACGTATAAACGCCTAAGTCCAACGACTCTTCTCAGAAAGCCAATTTCAGCTATTTGTACCCAAGTTTTTCAGTCATTGTTCGTGAATAGTATGAGGTTGCACCAGCAAACAAAATGCGACCTGCTTTTAGCATGGCAGGTATTTAAATACCATGCAGCTGTGGCCCAAACAAGTAGCCTACTTAGTAACTAGGAATAAGGTGCTAGTGCAGTACAATCTGAAAGATGGTCTTGGGGGAGACATTCGAAAGTTAATACACTCTGGCATAAGAAGCAACATTTGCGTTTATGCGGCTTATTATTTATAAGCACCAGCTTTTAAAACATCGTTTGTGATTAGCGGATAAAATGATGCGAATGATGCTCTGTCGGGCATTGCAGGTGCTCAAGTATCTTGTAGCTCTGGCATAATTAAATGTCCCTGCCCCTGTAGGGCAATTATAATGTGGCGATGTAATATGGACTGAAATCCGGTACCGGAAATGTTATTGGCCAGCAATAAAAGAACATAAATCCATCGTATCCTTATGCTAACATAGTAAATAGAAGCATCCTCGTACTTTCGGATTATATTTACGAGTTCCTTATCTGTTTTGTTCATACTCTGCCGTGGTGCCAGGGGTTCATGGCCATTTTTTATTATTAGCACTGTTATTTTTTTTCTGCTGCCACCCGTTTTCTACTAATACTGCCTTGCTGACGATTCAGAGAGTTTGAGTTCAATTAAAAAATACAATACCGATTGTCCGCAATTCATGCACAAGGACTCGATTTCCGTAGGCATGCCGTCGGGATCATCGCAGACGAGTCCTTTCACGACTGACTGATTAGCCACTGCCACATTTATTTCGGTCATTTTTACCTGTACAAAAAAATTTCCATACAAGCGAAAATTAGGAAGCGGTAACATAAAACTGTGACAAAACCTCCAAACAACATTCACCTCAAATGAACTAAAGCTATGAACGCCAACAAATAGACTCTACCTATAGATGGCATCGCAGACAGTTTCGGATGTCAAATTAAACAGCTGTCTTGATCACCACGAAACAAACACGGAAGAGAAACTGTTGGCAATTGTGAGTTACATGGATTAATTAAATTACAGTACACAATTACAAGATAGTTTCTCCATTGTGCGAAAAGCTACAACCGACAAAAATTTATTTAGGTACCCTTTTGGCAGGAATAACGAATAACTTGGAGAAATATAACAAAAACTTTGAAATTAAACATCTCAAAAATGCGTTTCAGCTTTTCCAACTTAAATGGATACACCTGAAAACTAAACGATTCTCAAATAAAATTGAACCACTCCAATGAACCACCAATGAGATTTTCTGTACTTAATGTGATAGGTAGGTGCATTACATAATCCTTTCGTTATTATGCATCTCGTGAATCTATTGAAGACCAGAATCATACTGCAAAAATAAAATCATTTTAATATCACACCGTAGCGACACATCGCTGCCCAGAGATCATTTAGATTTTTGTCTTGAATTAATCCGTTAAGTGCAGCTAATGAATTCTTTGAGTTTCCTAAAGGGTCTGCTGCAGAAGATAAAATATATAATGCGATGCAACCTGCGCGATAGGCTCTCTCGCTCAGACAGTGTAGGTGTTTCATTGAAGGATTATTCACGAACGATTTGTTAACTATGAACTCATGGAAAGGGCAGTAGTTGCTACACGCGAAGTTTCTGTAGGATCTAGTATCTACCATTTGGTGAGAAAATCGACAGATCTTTCGTTGCAGGGCAGGTGGTGAACTCAGGTGATCGTCTCAGGTGATGAACTTCCGGAGCAGATTTTCAGTCACTCACTGAAGGGCCTAGTGCGAATCAAATTGCAGGTTCAAACAACGTAAACAACGAATTTTCGATTATCAACTGGTGATTCCTTATAACCAGGTATTCAAGAAACTGCTCATTTGGGCAAACCGCAGAATAAAATGGGTGCAGGCCATTAATATCTGAATAGGAACGGCAACTTCATGTGACGCCGCTTCTGGTTTGTGCCGTTAGGTGCTGCAGAGATCGAAACAACCGCTTCGGCTGAAAGTCAGAGTCAGAAAAATCCAAAAATCGATACCAAAAAAGAATAATTCGAGAATGCTAACGTAAGGAGCATAACAGCTTTAAGCAAGAAATTTTTGCAGTCTTCCTTGTACCTTGGAAATGTGCAAAATATCTTTCCAAGAATATTATTTTAAAGAAATCCATAGTTCATGGCTTATAGATTTTGAAACCTGTCAAATTAGACCGTTGAATTAAATTTCGCATGCGAACTGACATCGACCCACAGCGTCAAACGTCGATACTAATAATGCGGCGAAGTTTTATTTAAACGTCATAGCGCTTGGCACTCCGTCAAAAAACATCAACATGCACACATGTGTGCATGCATTTGTGTCTGATCGGTACTTTGAGCCGTGACTGCAATTAAATATAAATATGCAACAAATTTCATGTCAACAACGATTTTTTGAAAGATTTTATTAAAAATGCACATTTGAAATGAAGCAAAAACTATATGCAATGGTCCTTCGTCTATTGCGGGGATTAGGTTCGAGAAATACCCACGATAGGTGAAAATCCGCGAAGTAGTGACCTTGTGTTTATTATTTGTATGCAGTTTACAGATGCTACGAAAGAATAGATGGCTTACACGAATCTATGATTAAGAACAAGAATAAAAACAACAAGACTAGTGGACGATGGTGGTCCGCCTTCCTTTTACCATGAATGTCATAATGGCACGAGTATAAAGGAGTAGAAAAACAATAAAGGTGTTGTTAGGCGCAAAGAAAATTGTTTTTAGGTAGATTAAAGAAGAAACAAAAAAGAATGACCATAATAAACCTCCCTTATTAAATTTTAATGAATGATGCAGTCCGAATCTGTTTATAATAATGATCCGTTACGAAATAGCTACTACTTTAAAAACCACAAAAGAAATACGAAAATTAAATAAACTAATTTAAGATGTAATAAACCCTCCCCACACTCTCGTTAACCTTTTCCGTATTTTAATAAACACTCCTTTGCTCCTAAACACTTTCTACACTCTCGAAACTACGCAGCTTTAAAAACATATAAAATTCTATATCGGCAGTCATCAATGAAGATGCTACAACTTGAATAATGAAGAAGATGATGATTTAGGTGTGCAACACTGATGACTATAAAAAAGATGACGCCAACATTAATGTACCGTATGGTCAATAAAAACATTACAGCCCTTCTGAAGGCGCAACTTCATCACGTGGTATAGTATCTTCGCCGTGGTCCGTAGTTTCTGTTTTCCATAAAAACATAGGTGTAATTGTGCTCTTTTTCCGAGTAAGGAACCAGTTATGGGGAGTTGCAGGCGCTGTTATATTCTGGAGAAAAAGGTTCTTGTAAACCGGCATGCCACCCTTGACTGTTTCTGAAAGTTGCAACGAGCGGAGAATCTGGGAGGTCCCATTTTGGGCTGCTCGCTGAAGTTCTTTGGCCATTCTAATCATGGCTG